AACATCAACTTATAATCTTACAAAATACAATAACAATTTTTTTTAAAGAAGATGCTCGAAAACACCACCTTGTTCTTCAATACATTTTTGGGCACGTTTTTCAACTGCTCGAACTGTCTTAAGTATGGTCCTACCATCTATCTGGGTTATCTTTTCCCTAACTGCAGTCTTTAACGCGTCAAGGTTATCGTACCTTCGCTTGTAAATTTGGTTCTTTAAGTAACCCCACAAGAAGTAATCAAGTGGGTTTAGATCTGGTGATCTGGGAGGCCACTGTATTGGGCCATTTGTTCCTATCCACTGATCATTAAAAGTAGTACTTAGAAAATGATAAGTACCTCTGGAGTTGTGGGCAGGTGCGCCATCTTGCTGAAAATGCAGATGATGTCTACTTATAAGATCCAATTCGTCTAAGAAATTAGTCAGAATTTCTGACATAAATTCCACATATCTTTCACCAGTTAGGGTTCCCTCATAAAAGAACGGGCCAACAATTTTTGAACCAATTATACCGCACCAAACGTTGAAACTGAAACGGACTTGTGGGCCTCTTGGATGTACTAACAAAAGATTTTCTCTTGACCAATAATGGTGGTTTTTTCTATTAAACATTCCAGAATTTGAAAAATTTGATTCATCTGTCCATAAAAGGTAACGAAAGTTATTTACATTTTGGCGACAGAAGCTAAGATACCAATGGCAAAAAACAAGTCTTCTCTCTGGATCCCCTGCCAAAAGCGTTTGAACTGGTCGGTACTTATACGGAATAAATTTGTATTTTTTTAAAATCCTTTGAACAGTACCATAACTGAAATTAGAGTCCTTGAGAATATCTGCTATTGAATTCTCACGATAAGCTTCAAAATATCCAATAACTGCAATTTCCGTGGCCTCGCTTATTATGAATTCTTTTTTTGCCCTTGTTTTAGCAAAAACATTTTCGTTGCCCCTAAATTTTCGATAAAGTCTCAGAAAATATCGTTCATACGGTTGAATGCGAGCGGGATATAATTCACTGTAGTATTCTCTTGCTCTCAAGGAGGATTTTCTGCACACTAAATAGCATTCTAACATATCACACTTTTCTTCATGGGAGAACATTTTTCTTTAAATTAATGACACAATAAAGCTTATAAACAAGTATTTACACTAATGTTTGACATTATTTGATTTTATCATTGTTTTCCAAAGCCTTCTAGTTGCGAGTATGTCCAGTTTAACAATTTGTCGCTTATCTTAATGCTGTCAAATCGCGAACGCCATGTTGTTTTCATAGCCGTCTTAATATTATAATACTGCAAATAATTAAAAATATTTATCGTTATTTTGACTTTATTTTTGACTTTAGCGGAAAAGTCATTATGAACTTTTTTGTTTAAAATTTTATGCTTTAACAGAAAAAAATATAATATACAGGGGTTTCCATTTAAAAAAATGTTATTTTACTGAAAAAAATCAAAATAACGACTCTCAATTGTTTTTTTTTATTTCTCATTTTTACCAGCGTTAAAAATGCTACTAGTTTGCTAATTCAAACAACTTTGTATTTTCACTAATAACAAAGTTACTAATGGTGGACACTTAATTTGGATAACCCTGTATATTGAGAGATAGAGAAGATGAGACATGACATTAAGGTCGAGGATTCCGCAGATAGATTGCTGAGATCCACAGTTCCTCACGGGACATGGTTGCTTTGGAAGCCAGCTTAAGCAGATAGGAAAGAGGTAATATGCAAACAGCACGTATTGGTTTGACGATATTCTTGAGCATTTACGCCAATGCAGTCGATTGGTTGATTGCCAGAGACAACTGGAAATGACAGTCGGCGAGAGGCTCACTGCTGACAACTTTACCAAGTACGTAGACTAGGGCAAAAGGGTGGAAATTCAATTTATAGTCAGATGAGTGATGCTGAGCAAAGTTTTTAGGGAGGTAACGGAAGGAGATAAATACTTCTTCTGGTACGAACCTTAGCATGACGCTACCCGCTACGATATGCTGTTATGCACTTCCTTGGTGCAATCCGTGGCGAACGACTGAGGTGCAGGAGGGAGTAAGTATACCATACTTTGGAGAATACAAATCTTCAGGTGGGAAAGACATGCAGAAGGCACATTTCAAGCTATTCTGCCGGAGAGAAGCTATAAAAGTTCTCCCCTGTTCAAAAAAGGGAATATCTGCTAATAGTAGATCTTTGGAACTGCTAAAGCACAGAGAGATCCGCGAAAGTCCAAGGAACTCTCAGAGGTTTTTGAGGAGACCCAAAGAAATCCAAGAAAGAAGATATTTTGTTCAAAAAAAAGTGTCTGCGGTTTACCCTTGGGCTTGGGGATCTTTAAATCATGAAGGATTTCAATACTTTTAAATTCAATTTCAACACCTAATATCTGGACCTGTTTCAAAAGATGGAGTTGAATAATGTTTTGGTCAAGAAAACAAGTTCACAATGCTATAATGTGGGAGGAAGTAGAGGTAGATAAATTCACAGTACTATTCTACAAATGAAACTTCGTAGCATTGATTGACGACATGACTGACACTCGCCATCACTCTTCAGTGTACTATAAAAATTACTTTCATACACATAAATTATAACGCATCACGGTCTTTGCATTGTTTGTAAAGCCTAAGCGGACAGCTTGCATTCTAATAATGAAGTGCCTGACGTACTGATTTTCATTTGCTATTTTAATTAGGCTCTACTTAGAAAAAGGTCACTGCGATTGAGATTCAGCTGTATGGGTAGGACAAGTGAAAATATAAGACCTCGTTATTACGCTTGATGAAGTTATTCACAAGGTTTTTGCTCCTAGGGTGTAATATCTGGTTGCACCGTCATACTAAGGTCAACTTTAAACTAACCTTAACTTCTATATTTTGGTATATATTTAAAACCTGAATGTGTTTAAAACAGATACTTGACATCACTAATTAATATGGATTTTGAAACCGTAAAATGTCAACTTGCCCATTTGACATTTTTATGATTTGGCCTAATGACCACTCTCCGTCAACTTCTTTGTAGATTGAAAACTGCAGATATGGAAAGCTCTTCCAAGTTCTTGGTTAAGTTATATATGTCATTCATTGACATTGTCAAACCTCAGTAATGAAAAAAGCAGAATTTCATAAGTAGGCCTTGAGATTATCACATATTTTAATGATATGGTATTCAGCGTATCATGAGAATAGATTGACAGGGGCGGCTGGCCCTCATGTTCTGCAGAGCTGCAGAACTGCCAAAACTTTTGTCTTAACAGAAAAAATCAGTAGTAATTTGATCATTACTTATTTTTCATGTTATCACACAAATAGAAACCATACCGGCCATGCTGCCACCGCAAGATACGGCGTCGAGTCTGTTTTGTATTGAGAAATCATTATAATCGACCAATTGTGTACTTGTCATTTTCGTCGCGACCGCAGCGTAAAATTATTCATGGGCCACTTGAAAAGAGTCTGTGCACTACTTCGACACAAGCCGCATGCGCTTGCTTTTGTCTCTCTCTACAAAATCAAATGCGCGATTTAAGCATAAGCATGTGCTGTACGTTATACAGATCCGTACAGATCTAATGCGAAGTACGATATCTAATTGGTCGGTCGGTGCTCGGTATAAAATTTTGCGGAGCATTTGAATTGGCGCTACGGGACCGCGACGAAACCAAGAGCTCCCAAAACCCGGGAATATTTCCTGGACTGATTAATTTTTCTGCTGAGCCTGATACAACCTTAAGCGAACACATAAAAAATGCTTGAATATTTAAAGGAAATTCGAAAGAAATATAAAACGATCTACTGGATTGTATTCTTGAAGTTTGTCATGAAGAAATAATAAAACAGATTATCAGAGCCTCGTATTTGGCGATAATAGCAGATGAAACAACGGACATTTCGGGGAAAACCCAACTGGTAACAAATTTCAGATACGTATTTAACGGCGAACCAGTGGAACGTTTTTGGAATTATATGAATCCCGAAAAATGTGATGCTGGTACTCTCAGAAGACATATTTGAGCGTCGTAGATCCATTAATAGGAAATTTTCCTAACAAACTGATTTCACAAAGCTATGATGGAGCCGCGGTAAGGAGGGACATAATGCTGGAGTACAGGCAAAACTTAAACAAAGATATCCATTTGCTCACTATGTGCATTGCTTTGCGCATCAGTTAAACCTCATTATGTCCCAAGCTGCTTTCGCAAATGCTCAAGTTCGGGTGTTCTTTGGGGATTTGAAAGATATTACGGGATTTTTGATCAATTCTCGTCCACGCGTAGAGGTACAGAACAGAATTGTGTGGAAAAAAATTCCCCAAGGAGCAACAACTCGTTGGAATTTTAATATTCGAACAATAAATGTAGTGTTTGAGAACAGAGAACCGCTCATTGAATGCATGGAAGAAATAGAAGACCATTTCACTAATGAAACCGTTTGCAAGGCAGCTTGCGGTACTCGCCGTATGTTAAACGATTTTTCGTGTTTTGGTTGACATTTTTTCATCATGTCATGCCTCACGTCTTACATCTTGTTCAACCAGTTGCAGAAGAGAAAAACTGAGTCAGCGAAAGTTAAATGGCTATCGATAATTTTGAAAAATGTATTGTCGATGTGAGAAATAAAATTGACGACATAATGAAAGAAGCCAAAACTATTTGCACTGAACCCCAAGGCAACAAAAGGTGACGACGTAATAATAGCAGTCACGATCACCGAGTTGCCGCATTAGAAGTATGCAACAATATAGTGAATTCTGCAAATGACAGATTTCAATTCAAAGATTATTTGGCAGCCGCATCCCTTTTTTTCCCCGAACACTTTGGAAAATACTGTGGTAAGTTTCCTGATGACAAGTTGGAAACTACCTGCTTGGCTTATCCCGAATCAGAAAAAAGTCGTTTAAAGACAGAGTTGTCTGTTGTTTATGCACGGATTGATTCCCGAGATTTACATGGAATTCTGTCTGTTTTGAAATTTTTGATACAAAATAGTTTGGAGGAAACACTAAAAGAAACAAAAAAGCTATTAGAAATTATTGTTACAACTCCTATGTCAACATCAGAGGCTGAGCGAAATTTCTCAACATTGAAAAGGATCAAGACTTTTCTTCGAAATACTATGACCCAGGATCGCCGTACAGCGTTGTCGATGCTGTCCATTGAAAAGGAATTTATTTCGACCATGGAAAATTTCAACGTGAAGGTGATCGACAAGTTTGCTGCCAAGAAGGAGCGCAGGATCGAACTGACATAAAAATAGGTAAGTTCGGATTTGCAGACCACCTGTTTTATTTTGCCACGAGCCACCACTGCAGATTGATATTATAAAACCTCAAATATCTGAAAAGGTAATTATCGTATAGTTGCTCTTAGCTCATCAAATAGAGAACAAACCAATAGTAAAACTTTTTTATACTACTCAAGTGTCGTATTGAAAATACTTTAAATAGTATTATTTTATATAACCGATGGCAATATTTTGGAGTAAATGGAGGCATCGACAATGTAGCAACTCCCTGCACACATTGCACACCTTGCATTCAAATACTGTTGATTCACAGCTGAGGTGTCATGTAGAGCACCTTCGTCGTGCTAAAATAAGTTATCTAAATGCTCCTTAATCACGCTACTCAAAAACTGAACCATTGATGAATTAATTGGCTATGCATGTGATAAACTGCCATTTTAAAAGTGCGCAACTTTGCCCCCATTTAACCGACTTCGTATCTCTTACCATTACCGAGATACCAATGCTGTATCCGTATATACGAGGAGGTACCCAAAAATAACTGGAATAGCATTGTAGTGGGCGGAGCTTGTGCAGTACACATTTCAGCCCCTAGAGGCGTACAGCGCAACTCATTACCGGTTCAGAGCCACCTGAGTTGTCGATCTGGCTTGGTTCGTTCCTCTGTAGTCATTACTTTTGCTAGAGCTGTTTCATGTTTGTTTCGTTTTTAACGATGGCAAGCTGCAGTGACCAACGTACAGCTGTTAAATTTTGCTTTCTAATTGCTGAAACTGTCTCAATGTTGAAAACTCAGGTGTTCGACAAAAGAGACCCGATTTGAAGCAGTCAGGAGACTGGTTCTTCCACCACGATAATGCACCCGCGCACACAGCCATCTCTGTTCGACAGTTTCTAGCTAAAAATGGCATGGTTCAGCTACCTCACGTACCTTATTGCCTGACCTGGCTCCGTACGACTTTTCCTTATTTCCGCAGATGATAAAAAATAATTCCGGTTTTTTTTGGGAACCCCCTCGTATTTGGTATGAAAGAAAAAGTTACTACAGGCGCACTGTTGTCAGGTGTAAGCTAAGCTTAGTTTCCATCAAATCATTTCGTTGCCACAAACAACATTTTTATTTTATTCAATAGCGAGTAGACCACATTTACTATAAAACTGAAATTATCGCCATCTGACGGTCACGTGGTGACTGGACTTCCATGTTGCGGACACAGATCTATACAGTCCCATCCGGTAGCTGCTATTCACTGTCTGTAGTAGTCGATTGTAGTGGTAGATAGCGCTTCGGGCTGACTTATTTCGGTAGATCTCACACTTTTGATAGCGTATAATTGCTATGCTTTCGTTCGTTGTCAAAGAGGCCAAGCCTAGACCATCTTGATGAATAGCCGAAAAGTACGAAACAGCTGTCCATGGTTGGCTGTCTTTGGACGGACAAAAGCAGCAAGTTCAGAATGACTACCTTTACGTTTCGTCAAAAGTTGGGAATCTAGGAGCTTTTTTTTATTTTAACTGTTTTTCTGGTTGGCATGTGCTACTGTTGAAAATAACAATTTCATTAACTATACGCTTAGTTTTTAACAATTATTGCGTGCGTAATTGAGTTTGTAGTTAATACAAATAGGCGAATTTACTTCTAATTAATCACAATATAAAAAAACAGTTCACCAGTTCTTTAAATGTATTTAGTCATCTTATTAAACGATGACAAATGACTGTGTAATTTTGTTCCGTAATACTATATAAAAAGGCAAGGAAAAAATCAGAATGGGAGATAATTATTAAGCTTTTTGTTCATATGAGCCGTATGAATTTGACCTTAACACATACCCTGCAGATATGCTTTTTAGATTTCCTTTATAATTAGTCTCGAAAAGTAATTCATTACCTGTACCTACAACCTGAGGAAAAGCAATAGAAGAATAAAGCCGAACTCACAAGTCAAGATACAGTGGAATTTTTAAACCTAGATGAACAGAAACAGTGAGAGTTAGGACTTTTTTCAAATGGGAAAAATCGGGCATAAAACAGGGTGTTTCACAACTTATCCGACCAATTTTAACCACATGCACTGTTACGGAAGAATTTGATTTCTCAAAAAAAAATTGTAATAAAAGTCCTACAAAAATCGAGATAATAAAATAATACATTTTATCAGTTCACTTACTTATAAAAGCTGTTCAAAATTGTTTCCAATGACTGCAATGCAAGCTTGGGCGCGTCTAATCTCCACCAGCACGTGCACGTAAAACAATTGAACTAAATGTTTCGTGATGCGGTATGTGCCTATTCGGAAATCGATGTTCTCCGTACTCTAAAACAATGTCCACTAAGTCCTCATTAGTGTACACATGTGCCATTTTTATTAATAAATAGCTAAAAAGATAAATTCGCAAAATACTTTCTTATTTAACTCCACAAAAATCGACCGTTCTTTCAGATCACCCACGATACAGATTAAACCTTATTTATACATTCTTATCAGTATGAAAAAACAAAAAATTCCTGGTATTTTGTGTCCATCTGTTGTTTGGTACAACATTTGCTACAATAAATTATTAATGCGTGTTCTAATATCACGACGATGAACGCAAAATACAGATATTTATTTTTCAATTTATTGTTGAAACTCAGGTTTATAACTTAATTTCTGTAGGACTTTTATTACATTTTTTTAAGAAATTAACTTCTTTGCTTCAGAAATAATTTGCAATTTTTTACCTCCCACGCCACTGGCGTCTAAGTATTAAGGTCGGGAAAAATTTCGGAATTTTATGTTTTTTGGATAACGATACTGCCATCATAAGTTAAAGTCCCACATTTGAACATTTTTGAAAATAGTCCAATATCAATTTTCCTTTTGTTTGCAGCCTCAACCGATATCCCTGTTATTATTAGGTGGTGCCGCTTCTGAGTAATACGACCGAAATGTTGTACAATAAACAGAAATTAAAACATACATTATAGTCCTATGAGCATGAAAGCCACAGGCTGTATCATAAGTTGCATGCAACTGGAGTATGATGAAGAATTCCTTCCTTTTGGATTTTCTAAGCCATTGTTTTTGAATTTGATGTTCAATCGCATCCAAAGAAAGTGTGGAACAAAAACAATATGCTGCAAGAAATGCAAGTAAAAGATTGGTAATCAAAACTGTCTTGAAATTACCATAACGGATGTTTAGAAATAATAAAAAATCTGAATTATCTGAATCTATTATTTCAAACACGTTCACTAAGCAAGCTTGTATCGTGACTAAACCTACTGACTCTTAAAATATTTTTTTTATTTAAGGGTGGAAGTCGGTGATATCCGCACGGCGCGGGTATTACGTATATTTCTTGACATTATACTGTTTTTTTTTTTGACATTATGTGTGTTTTTCGACAAGATGTTAACTTTGCACTAGCTGATGGACGTCATGAGACTTCACTTATGAATGTTTGGCTATGATGTGATGTAAAATCTGCTTCAGAGATGGCATTACTGGAAGTAACGGCACAGTGAGGATTTGTGTGCTAATAGTATGTGTTGATGGTAATTCCATTGGATTCTTGTCTCAAACACACTTACTTAAGATTCAAAGCTAGAAATTAGTTGCGCATCCACTTTTTTTATCCGTTCTGGAAATTATACATTGAAATTTGCTGAATTTACTAAATAAGAGAGATAAGTAATTAATTTGTTCTCTGAACACTGTCGAATACAAGTCATATACATGCTAACCCGTAATTCTCCTCAAAATTTTTGAAAACAAAAAAACGTAAAAAATCAATTGATAACATAACCTGTCTTTCGAAAGGACAACATATAAATAACCCGTCGGGCACAACTATTAGATGTACTTCATCAGCAGCATATTCAGTAATGATTTTCACACACGGCAAATATCACTGATTTTATACACATGCAGACCAATACGCACAATCATCCAGATGCGATCTTGTCATTCAACCAAACAACCAGATTTCTTCTCAGAGCCTCAGATCTGGAAACTATAGACCACTCGGCTTCACAAAACATATGCAACCAGCAATGCGTGTACGTGTAGTTGATCCATTCCGTCATAGATGGACGTTCACAACGATCCTAGTGAGCAAATGTGGAATAACTGTTTGCACCCTAAAAGCTACCTAGTCTGCAAGATAACATCTTATAGGTTTTTCTGACGTTTTATAGGTTTTTTGCAAAATACCCGTGCGGGTATTACGTATCTTGGAAAGTGACATTTCGTCCGATTTTTTTGACATATCGTAGGTTTTTCTACAAGAGGTTAACTTAGCACAATATATTGTGCACTTGTTTGTGTTCGTCAAATACAAAATCTAGGAGTAATACTGGTACAGATGAGCTTTTGCGCCAATGGGACGTGAAAACGGAATGGGAGCTGCGCCTGTCACCGTCCTGATTTTGGTTCATGTATTCTGTGTTTCTGAAATTTCACTTCTAGAAGTATCGCAAGGATCTGATGGAAGGACCCAGATCGCCGCTCCCACTAATTCTGAAGCTTACCCTGGTTATCGTCACTGGAAAGATGTCATTCCAATCAGCATCGATAATCCATCATGTATTGTGGGCTTAGATTACTGTAGGACCTTTGTCGGGAAGAAATACATGTCTGGTTTCCTACCTTGAAATTTCTTACCTTACTGGTGATAAGAGATCAAGATATAATTGTTTGAGCTATCAGTCTTTTTCCCAAAATGTTACTAACGATGCAGACATAAGATGGTTTTTGAAGGGCATTTACAGGCTGGGGCCATCTGAACTGAAATATAGATAGTGTGGTTGTTCTCAACCAACCCAAGGGATTGCTGGTAAGCTCTGTAGATATTTAGATGAGGAAATCAGCAACACTGCTAGCTCTAACCTCAGGGATTTCTCAGTTTTAGAAAGTCTCGGGGTCACTCATGTGGTAACCACTTAAGTTTTACCGTATTTTCCGCCCAAATATCTGTGCAGTCAAAGTATTTATTTGTCACTGTAGAGTAACTTTATTATGGTGCGTTTTCTGAGATACGTGACAAATCTCTTTTGCCAAACAATAGCTTTGCTCAAGCGGCATTTGAGGTGAACCAAGTCTCCACACCTCAAACATAACTATGTTATTACGTTATTTGCTAATTACCATGAAATCGATCGTAATTTTTGAACCAGGTACGC